ATATCATTCTCGAACTGCCTTTCAGTAGTTGCTATACACAGCCTGACTAGCAATGCCACTCCCCCATCTCTTTTTCCACCCTCCCTATTTCTTTTAAAGCATCTAAATCCCGGAACTTCCAACATCCATTCCTCTCCCCGAGTTACCCAAGTTTCTGTAATGGCCACAACATCGTAGATCCAAGTACCGACCCATGCTCTAAGTTCATAGAACATAGAACATAGAACATTACAGCGCAGTACAGGCCCTTTGGCCCTCAATGTTGCGCCGACCTGTGAAACCAATCTGAAGCCCATCTAACCTAAACTATTCCATTATCATCCATATGTTTATCCAATGACCATTTAAATGCCCTTAAAGTTGGCGAGTCTACTACTTTTGCAGGCAGGGCATTCCACGCCCTTACTACTCTCTGAGTAAAGAACCTACCTCTGACATCTGTCCTACATCTATCACCCCTCAATTTAAAGCTATGTCCCCTCGTGCTATCCATCACCATCTGAGGAAAAAGGCTCCCACTGTCCAACCTACCTAATCCTCTGATCATCTTGTATGTCTCTATTAAGTCACCTCTTAACCGTCTTCTCTCTAACAAAAACAGCCTCAAGTCCCTCAGCCTTTCCTCATAAGACCTTCCCTCCATACCAGGCAACATCCTGGTAAATCTCCTCTGCACCCTTTCCAATGCTTCCACATCCTTCCTATAATGCGGTGACCAGAACTGTACGCAATACTCCAAGTGCGGCCGCACCAGAGTTTTGTACAGCTGCAACATGACCTCATGGCTCTGAAACTCAATCCTTCTACCAATAAAACCTAACATACCGTACGCCTTCTTAACAACGCTATCAACCTGGGTGGCAACTTTCAGTGATCTATGCACGTGGACCGAGATCTCTCTGCTCATCCACACTACCAAGAATCTTACCATTAGCCCAGTACTCTGTATTCCTGTTACTCCTTCCAAAGTGAATCACCTCACACTTTTCCGCATTAAACTCCATTTGCCAATTCTCAGCCCAGCTCTGCAGCTTATCTATGTCCCTCTGTAACCTGCAACATCCTTCCACACTATCCACAACTCCACCGACTTTGGTGTCATCCGCAAGTTTACTAACCCATCCTTCTACGCCCTCATCCAGGTCATTTATAAAAATGACAAACAGCAGTGGCCCCAAAACAGATCCTTGAGGTACACCACTAGTAACTGAACTCCAGGATGAACATTTCCCATCAACCACTACCCTCTGTCTTCTTACAGCTAGCCAATTTCTGATCCAAACCGCTTAATCACCCTCAATCCCATGCCTCCGTATTTTCTGCAATAGCCTACCATGGGGAACCTTATCAAACGCTTTACTGAAATCCATATACACCACATCAACTGCTTTACCCTCATCCACCTGTTTGGTCACCTTCTCGAAGAACTCCATAAGGTTTGTGAGGCACGACCTACCCTTCACAAAACCGTGTTGACTATCCCTAATCAAGTTATTCCTTTCTAGATGATTATAAATCCTATCTCTTATAATCCTTTCCAACACTTTACCCATAACCGAAGTAAGGCTCACTGGTCTATAATTACCAGGGTTGTCTCTACTCCCCTTCTTGAACAAGGTGACAACATTTGCTAGTCTCCAGTCTTCTGGCACTATTCCTGAAGACAATGACGACATAAAGATCAAAGCCAAAGGCTCTGCAATCTCCTCTCTAGCTTCCCAGAGAATCCTAGGATAAATCCCATCCGGCCCAGGGGACTTATCTATTTTCACACCTTTCAGAATTGCTAACACCTCCTCCTTATGAAGCTCAATCCCATCTAGTCTAATAAGTTCATCCGCTTTATTTCTGATACTTCTTGCATCAAACCATCTCGGCGTCCGCAATGACACTCCATCGACCGCGCTTCTTCATAAACCACCTCACTCCCTGTTGTGTCTGTTGGAAGGCCTCATCCTCTGAATTATAAATCTGGTTCCCCACCCCCTGCCAAACTAGTTTAAACCATCCCATACAGATCTAGCAAACCTCCCTCCCAGGATATTTGTGCCCTTCCGGTTCAGGTGCAACCCGTCCTTACTGTACAGGTCCCACCTTCCCCAGAATGTGTTCCAATTATCCACATAATGGAAGCCCTCCCTCCTCCACCAGCCCTGTAGCCACGTGTTTAGCTGCACTCTCTCCCTATTTCTTACTTCGTTATCACATGGCACTGGTAGTAATCTAGAGATAACTACCCTGTTTGTCCTGGACTTCAGCTTCCAACCTAACTCCCTGTACTCGTTTTTCACATTCTCAGTCCTTTTTCTACCTATGTCATTGGTACTGATATGTACCATGACTGCTGTTTGCTCACCCTCCCCCTTAAGGATCTTGAAGACACGATCTGAGACATCACGGACCCTGGCACCCGGGAGGCAACATACCATCCTTTCATTTCGTTTGCATCCACGGAACCGCCTGTATGTGCCTCTTACTATTGAATCCCCCACTACAATTGCTCTCCTATTCTCCCCCCTTCCCTTCTTTGCCACAGGGTCAGGCTCAGTGCCAGAGACCTGTCCACTATGGCCTTCCCCGGTAGGTCGTCTCCCCCAACAGTATCCAAAACGGGATACCTATTATTGAGGGGAACGGCCACAGGGGATCCCTCCTGCACTGTCTGCCTATTCCCTTTCCCCTTCTTGACAGTCACCCAGCTACCTTTTTCCTGTACCTTGGGTGTGACCACCTCCCTATAACTCCTCTCTATCACCCTGTCAGCCTCCCGAATGATCCGGAGTTCATCCAGCTCCAGCTCCAGTTCCCTAACACGGTTTTTGAGGACCTGGAGTTGGGTGCACTTCTCTCAGGTGAAGTCAGAGGGGACACCAGCAGTGACCCTTACCTCCCACATCCTGCAAGAGGAGCATGCAACTGCCCTAGCTTCCATTCCCTCTACTCGAGATTGCAAGAAGAAGAATAAAAAAAAAATCCTTACCTTGCCGAACCTCCACACGTGTAGTGTTTCGGGTTTAGCCAATGCCCGAATTTATCTGTTTCTTCCTGGCTCACATTCCCTCCACACACCTGCCGCTGAAAACAAGAGGGCCGCTTGCTGCATGAGGTAAGTTTTTTATACAGGAAGAAACAAAAACTGCCTACCTTCCCGTTGGCACTCTGGCTCACGCTGCTGCCGCTGAAAACAAGAGGGAAAACAAATGAAGGATGTAAATGCATTACAGGCAGTTCGGAGATATTTTACTCGACTAAAGACAAAGTCTACTCCCACACCTGTCTCATACGTTCATATGCATGTTTGTTTGTACAGTGACTTCTGGTAAAAGTACAGGGTTATGACTTTGACATGAACTACAAAACTTGTGCTGAAATGGCCACTTTAGATGAGTTAGTTGAGCAGATAGCCAAAGCTGAACAAGGCTACAGATGTTCCAATGGATTGACAAGTCAATAGAATGGACTTCAAGGTGAAATATGTGCTCAAAATTGATCTATTTTATTTATGGTATTAATATTATCAGCTTCAATCAGAAACTGCTAATAACCCAACTAAAGGCACTGTGGAAGGTTATCTTCAAGGGGTGGCCTGACAAAATAAAAGATGCCAGACAATCTCAAATGCTGTTGGCCTTACATAGATGATCTCAGTATCTAGAGAGGCATTGTCTTCAAAGGAAAACCAATATCTGCAGCTGAAGCTGTCTGCCAGCTTCGTTACACTTCACCAAGGACATGTGGGTATAGAGCAGACATGATGATCGATATGTGATACAGCCTATTGGTCAGGGATTAAGAGTGCTATATTTACATTAGTGAGGTATAAGAGGCATAACAGAGCCACTAGCCATAGTAAATTGAAAATCTCTACATTTTAATGAGATTCTGTCAGTTCCTCAGTCCAAAATCACCATTGATCTGTTTACCGTGAATGGAGGCGACTCCTTTGTGGTCACCAATTAGTATTGATTTCTAGTTGTCAATTGGTAATGAATATTTCAAGCAAGTCCATGGCAGACACATTGTGCACCTGAAGATACCATTTCTGATAATGGGGCACAGACGTTGTTAGGATATTTGTGCCAAATAGGGCATGAGTCACTCAATGTTCTTACCATCACATGGTCTCACTGAGCGAATGGCTATTATGATAGAATTCACCCTCGAGTTTAAGAGGGAGAAGCTGGAATCAGATGTAAAGATATTATAATTGAGTAAACATAGCTACAAAAACATGAGGGAGGAGCTGGCCAGAATTGATTGGAAGGGGAGTCTTGCAGACAGGATGATAGAGCAGCAATGATAATTTGGGAGGCACAGCAGAAATTCATCCCAAGGGAAAAAAGCATACTAAGGGGAGGTTGACGCAAATGTGGTTGACAGGGACAACATAAAGGCAAAACAAAAAGCATACAATATGGTGAAGATCAGTGGTAATCATTGGGAAGCCTTTATAAACCAGCATAGGACAACTGAAAAAAGCAATAAAGGAGAAGATGAAATATGAGGGTAAGCTCGCCAGTAATATTAGAAAAATTGCAAGAGTTTTTTTTAGATATATAAATGGTGAAAAAGAGGGAAGAGTGGATATTGGACTGCTGGAAAATGAGGCTGGAAAAGTAATAATGGGGAGCAAAGAAATTGTGGACCAACTGAATAGGCTTTGGAAAGTCAGAACTTGTAGTTCTGACCTGCTCTTATCGCCACAGTATTTATATGGCTCGACTGTTTCAGTTTCTGGTCAGTTTCTCCACAGCAAAGAAGAATGACAGATCCATACGACCTTTTCTAAACCACAAATAAAGTCATGTTTGTACGCTAGCTGGCAGACCTCAACACAATAATCTGAACCAAACTGTGCATCAATACAGAGAAATCAATGCTTTTTTAGTGTGTGATCAGTTGTCAGTCATTTTGTTTCATATATAGCCACGAAATAAGGTAGAAATATCAGTGAAGCATGCCTGTATCTTTCTGAATAATCTCTTAATCTTTCTGTTTAGAAGCCGGACCAAGAATATGATGTGGTATGGTGTGCTTGGCACCAAAGAGTTACTACAGCGAACCTATAAGAACTTAGAACAAAAGGTGCAACTTGAGGTAATGTCTGTATCTTCCACAGTGGGTAAGCAAGTCAAACCGCAAAAACACCTAATCAATGCAAATGATGCATTCGTATTAATACATTATTAAATCTCATTAATAAATGGAATGTACTTATTATGCCTGGGTGCTGTTATTCAGTGAATATGATCTGAAGAGTTCTCTTAGCAACTAACTGTGTTGGGACTGTTCAAAACATCAGTGTGACAAAGTTTGTGATTGGTTTGTTACAACAGCTATTTGCACAGTAGTATCTGAAACAGTTTGAAGTATGTGGTACTGTCACCTTTACTCTCCTTCATTTTCAGGTGCTGTCTATATCTCAAGGGTTTAGGCACACCCCCCCCCCCC